CAAGGAAACCAAATTAAAACCAAACCATAGGACAAAAAGAGAGAGAAATAGGGAATCGAAAAAGGAAAGAGAGAAAAAAAGGTTGGTTAACTGGGGAAGGAGGGGACGGACAGCTAAGGTGTCGGTGTACCGTGATTTGATGCCCTACTGTGCAAGGACAGAGCCACTATGGGAAATGAATACTGTTGAAAAATGTTTTATATGATATATCAATTTCTATTTAGGACAAAATTTGTTTTTACGTCCGATTATAAAAACATCCTAAATTTTTAAATAAAATATTAAAGATTTAAGACATAACTTTATATAGGTAAAAAAAAATATTTAAAAATAGTTAAAATTAAGTTAAATAAATGTAACTTATTTAAGATTTTATATTAATTATAATTTTTTATATAATTTATATTTTTTAAACCAATAATATATTAGATTTGATATTCTATTAATTTATATTATAGTTCTAAATTTGAAGTATATTTGTAAAAATATAAAACAAACTATATTTTTTATAATATTAGTATTTATTTGCTGGATTTAAAAAAAAAAGAAAAAAGAAAATTAAGAGAGAAAATGCTTAGAAATTATCATATTTTAATGAAGTGTTAAAAAATATTAAAATAACATTTATTGTTCTTTAAAAATATATTATTTTAATTTTTATATAAATAAATATTTATTGAAATGATATAGTTTTAAATTTATTTTTTATATGTTTGATTGATGAATATTTTTTATTATCTTAATTCATTATTTAAGAGTATTAAATTATATGTTATTAAAAAATTATTAAATATATTTAATTAATTTAAAATTTAATATATATAATACAAGTGGCATATTAACATATAAAATTCATGATTAATATAAAAATTGGAAAAAAATTATACTAATACAACTGATTATAACTCACAAAAATTTTTAAAATTTTGCCCTTCTAACACAAAATTCTGGCTCTACCCTGCAAAAACCGTTGCTATGGTTCAAGGCTCGTCTATATTTTCCGGATGGCTTCAAGAAGTTTGAGGAATCAATGTCAAAGACAAAAGGTTCTTATTGGTGAATGGGGATTATAATGGTGGTGACGTGGTTCTAAAATTGCGAAGTAATGGAATAAATAAGTCACTTTGTGTCCATTACCTTTTTTTTTTTTTTTAAAAAAAAGGGTCACTTTGTGGGATAAATAAAGTCAATCTTTTCTGTAAAGAGAATTGATTGATTTTGACAGCACATTAAGCATGAGGAAAATGTTAAGTAGTCTCAATTTCCAAGTAATACTCGAATACTGATTAAAAAAATTTAATTTTAAGTTTTTTATTTAAGAATTTTTTATTTTTTAGTTAAATTATATTAAAT